TATGGGACTCTGACTGCACTTTTAGGCATTTGGATTTAAAAGAAAAATGAAAAATGTATGCAAGTTGAAAGCTTCAAATGTCTTAGCTCCTCTGAATCATTTAGTTCGAAAAATAAGCTTCTAGCTAGCTTGCTGATGATATTTAACAATGCTAAATTGTGCCATCTGCTTGCACTCTCTTAAAAATGAGTTTTATTGCCATTTTTATTAATCAAATAACTTAAAACACATGCTTGTAAAAAATTCTTAATATATATATATATATATATATATATATATATTTGTAAATACTTTTTATGTTACTTTATTTTTATTGAGAAATTATTTAAATTTTACAACAGGATAACAGGATCATTTCACGTTCAGAAATATACAATTTTGCTGTATTGCATATAAAAATAATAAATACATACAAAATTAATAATAATTCAATAAAAAAAAAACATTGGGGGATTACTTTGTTCCAGATTTAATGCATTCAACAGTAGTTAACAATGCAATTATTAATCCATTGCTTCCAATGATTTAAAAATAAGTCCTTTTCAGGGCTCAAAAGGAATGTAAATTCTTCCATATTGCTTATTTCTTTCACAATTTCAATCCAATCACTAATAGAGGGGGAGTCATGCTTATACCAGTATCTGGTAATACTCTTGCCACATTTAATATATTTACAAGGTAAAAATCCTTCTACACTACCACCTCTTCATAGTTTCCAAGTTAATTTGTAATTAAGTCTTTTGGTATATAGTATCCTATAAGATCTTTTCCTTTTAGAATAAAACCTAACATTTTTGCTCCAGAAAATATGAAGATGATCTACATCAACCTTCCCACATATTCTCCAGCAACTTTGAGGTATGGACAATTGTTTGCTTTCAATTTTGAGGGTAATAAAAAAACGTACTAGATTTTTCCAAGCAAATTCTTTCAACATTAGCGAACAGCTAATTGTATCTTACAGGCAGAAAGCCATTTTTCAATTAGAATTTCTTCCGCTAACTCTCTTTCCCATTTCTGCTTAATGTAGTTTGTGGAATCTTTTCCATTCTCATAAAGGTTTGGTAGAAAGAAGAAATTATTTTACAAATATTCCTATAAGAATCTTAGTTTTATTAATTCATTCAAACCCGAAATGTCTTTTGCTTTATATTCCCTTTCAAAGTAATCTTGAATTTGCAGGTAGCAGTAAAAGTCTTTATTGTCCAAATTATTTACATATTTTTAACTCTAAAAAACATTTTAATTGTCCCGGTTTAAAGTTATGGTCCAACGCCACCCATTTTACCATCATTATACGATCTTGTTGGTTATACTGCTCAATCAGTTTGAACCATACCTCAAGCATGGTGACTGTTATTTGATGTAAGCTTCTGCCGAAACCTGCAGAAATCTGCAGAAACCTATCAATAATCCACTACTCCATAATAATCGACTTTCAAAAATAACACACAAGTACTGGGATAATAGTTTATAGTTTAGATAAAGCCACAGACGTTTATGGTAGATTAAAACCACCATCCTGTGCATTTAAAGACTCTCAAAAATGAAAGTTGTAGGCAGCAATTACATAACTTAACCAATAGGTAGCGACAACCAGTCATTAAAAAATATGCCACTGAATAATTCTTCAAAAATGACACATCTAGCAATAAAACATGAGGATTTATGTGTAAATAACTGAATTAATTTTTGAAAATTTAGACTAAATATACATTTTAAAATACATTTTATACCAAATATATGCTTTAGCATTATCGGCAACAGTAGTAGTAACAGTGAATTTTTCCCAGTAATGAATATTTTACAATTAATTTTTATTCAGCTGATTATTTCTTCATCTTATTTTAAATAAAATGACAGGATCTGTTTGTTAAAACCAAAAGATTTTTGCAGTTCTGTTTTTGTAATATTTGGAAACCAACGACTAAAAAAACATAATGTTATTTGAACTGTGAGATTTGTGCTCTGTTATAACTCCAATCAATAATCTTTTGTGCATTCAAAAAAGTTCCATAAATCCTTAAAGGTCTTCATGAAACCATAAATGCCAGTAAGAATGTTTATTTTAAAGAGTAAATGAGCAAAATGAGGTGAGGACTACACAGTTCTGAATGTAAGTCATTGTTGATGACACACGGGTGGCAAACCTCATCTCTTGACACTTACAAATGAGCCTCTTCATAAATTCACCAATTCCTCCTATCTCCGCCAGCCTGATTCATATCTTACACACCTCCAACCTGCTCACAGCTGGCCAATTTCTTAAAGGTGAATAAAATATAAATGTGAAGTATAAAAGAACAAATAGTGTGTTTTTTTCAGGTCTAACAAAAGCCATTTGAAAGCAGCATAAATCATAATTACATGTTGCAACATCGGGCAACATGAGAAGTGCTTTGTGACTGGGAATAGCTGAGAGGCTAACGTGATTCACCTCCCAACGTCAGACCCTTAAATTAGCTCCCGCAGACAGTCTCCCACCAGGAAAAAAGGCGGTGCTGCTAATTAAGTGCACAATAATCAAGTCAAGGCTCCAAACAGAGGAGAAAAATTAAAAGATGGGGCAGTTGCTGTCAAGGTCCAGTGTTGGTTCCTGCAAGTATTTCCTTTCAAGGAATGCTTAAAGCATGATGCAGTCAGCCATCACACATTGCTTTTTAATACGCTATGCAACTGAGAACAAATAATGTCTGACTTGTTGAAAACAAATCTTGCTCTGAAGTATTGTGATGTGGCATATTCATTAAATAATATCATTAAAGATACAACATGCAGGATAACATTGTATCTCCTCACTAAAACATCAAACTGTTCATTTGTTTTGTTCAACTAGCAGCTTGTTTACAGAACTTAAAATACATTGATTGTGTTTCAGATGAATAAATGTAAAATTATATATATATTGTAGATATGTTGCTATTTTTATAATATTTATAATTAATATTTTATTTATAATAAGTTTTGGCTATTACAAGTCTGATATGCTTTTTTGTAATACCAATAGCTCTAAAAATATTACAATAATTGTAAGACCTTTTTTCCCTCCAAAATTAAAAGTTGTAGCAAGTAAAATGTTACAGAATGCCTTTGTTAGAGTTTAATTATACTTTTAAACTAATGAGTAATGTTAATTGAGTACGTGTACTTAATTAAAATACTAGCAATTTTCTGTCATTATGTTAATTAATTAAAACAGAATACAGAATATCTAGAGAATACAGAAATAATGTAGTACATTTGTGCCCTATGTAATTGCTTTTTAAGGGTACCTTTTCGGGTATTGCAAGTGATTATACATAATTTAAAGTAACCTAAAATAATGATATCAAATGAAGTGTTACCAAAAGCACCTCTTTTATACTATACATTATTTTATAAGGCATTTATGCTTAGTATTGTCATTGCATATTATTATCATTTTAACCCTTTAACAACCTCACCAAGAAAATAAAATGTTTGGATTGCATTTCTTAACTCCTAATGTCCCTAGTAAACACACTCAGTGCATTTATTTTTCAACATATGCCATAATTTCTAAAACATCAGACTTTACCAAATGGTTGATATGTTGGTTTATGGTAAAAGTGCCACAATTAATACTATGACAAATCTAAAAATATGGTAAGACCATTTTTTTATATTCAAAATGAATTTTTATTTTTGAAGTATACTATAAATTATTTCAGATTCTCATTTAATATGTTTTCTTGTTTTTTTTTTTTTTTTTTTTTACAACAAAACCAAAATCAAGTGTGGTAGTACAACAGAATTATGTTTGTTTTATTTTATTTTTTTATAAATCAACAATGCTATGTGTGTAAGCCATTATTTAAAAGAGTCAATCTTGAAATGACTTTAACAGTCATTATTCAAAACAGTAAAAACATGGTCAACCGTTTGGTGGAGGGGCAGTCAAATGGCTTTGTTTTCCATTTTCCATTTGTTTTCCATTCTTTTACCATTTTAAAAATACATTTCCAAATAATTTAAAATTTCTAAAACTTCTTATAATGAAAAACTACAAGCTCCAGCAGTTTAATGCGTGTCATTCCATTTCATGGGAGTTAAATGTTTCATTTATAATCCTGTTGTAAAGGCGCTTCAGCACCTGGAGCTGTCCAGTGCATCGTTACAAATGACCGTCTGCTAAACCACATAACAACAGACATGAGACCTGCACAAAATATTCACATCCCAGCTCTATTATAAATATTACTCTTTCAAACAATCAAATGCTGTAATCTTGAACATCTCAGTGCCACGAAACAATTATATTAAGTGAGATTATCCATCACTCGCCACATCAGCTTACTATAATGCGGTCGTGTCTCATTACACAACACAGCAAACCTATGATGCCATCAATATATTCCTCTAAGTTTTCTGGCTTATATCAATTGTAACGTGTCATCATGTAAACTCTTTCCTTCATAAAGGACAAAAGTGAGTGTCGGAATGTCATCTCAAGCATTATCCTTCATGCACGGGTGCTCTACAGAGAGGAAAAAGTTATTTATAGTGTAGTACGGGACAAACCACATCACCCGCTGCTGTTTCTCCACATAGACTGGTCATAATTGGAATCAAATTAAAAATGTATAGCTAGTATATACAGTATAATAGTATCACATAAACAGCATTTTCCATGATTCAATCTCAACATGATTTAATTACAGCGCAGTTTTTGTTGCATTTGGCGATCTACACTTGCAGCAGCAAAGCGATGCTGATGTCAAACACGCAAGCGCATTCTTTTGTTTCAGCAATCTGGTGTTTATTCTATTTGTGCAATGCTAAAGATGACTACATGGGTGCATAACGAACACGCAACGCTTCCCGTGTCGCCTTGCGTTGCATTTACACGGACATTTGTAAAGCGCTCTGTAAAACATGGCTGTGCGCTGTTTGCCACTGTAAAGCCCGTAATGATGTAACCCGCACTGCAATATTCCACACACAAGCAATATGCATATCCTGTGAATAATAAGCGCACTCACGGTGGTTTATAGATCCGTCGTCTGCCGTCATGTCTTCAGTGAAGGGCCAGACACTAGAGAAGTGCTGGAGGATGATGAGGCTGATGCTGTTGTTGGTTCAGATGCGCTCAGTGAGGGATCAGAGAGAGAGAGAGAGAGAGGAGTTTGAGCGCCACTGCTGAAGATTCAAGAGAAAACATCACCGACAACCCTCATGTCCTGCTTAGATGGGCTTTACTTCCTGGTTGTTTCGGGTCCTAGAGAGTCCTGCTTGCGGTATGGGTAAAAACAATAACATTCGTTTCAAACCATAGTAATTTAACCTGTTATTTTTCTTTCAAAACGTTTGTGTTTTTCATTTGACCTAATTAAAGGCAACTGTGCATAAATAGGCCACAGTGCTCAGCATATATAAGTACACCTCTCACAAATCTATCTTTTAAATTTGTATTTTATACAAATTATTTTATTTGTGCATATATAGTCTGTACTGAAGCCCAATCTGGAGCTTATCTACCAAAATAACGGTCCAAACACATTTTTGAACAAATTTGTGTTACAGAACAATATTAAATACAATTTTTTAAAGAGGAAAAATCAAGAGAAGCAGAAAAAAAAATTGACATTTTGTAGGTTGTAATTTATTATTATTATTATTATTTTGCAATATTTAGCTTGAATTTAATTGTATTATCTTTAAATTTCTAAATATGTTTGAGTACTAAACTATTATTTAAATAAATATATCTGTTTAATAAATCTGTTTTGTTTAAATGCACCAACATACATTGCCTATATTCACTAAGAAATGGAAAAAATATTCATTTTTAAATGAAATGGGGTGTTCTCTATTATGCTAAGCACTGTATATAGAACAAATTATGGTCAGCTTGTAATATTCATTCATTCATTTTCTTTTCGGCTCAGTCCTTTTATTAATCCAGGGTTGCCCACTACGGACAATTTAGCCTACCCAATTCTCCCATACCACATGACTTTGGACTATAGTGGAAACCAGAGCACCCGGAGGAAACCCACACGAACGTAGGGAAAACATGCAAACTCCACACAGAAACGCCAATTGACCCAGCCAACGCTCGAACCAGGGACCTTCTTGCTGTGAGGCGACAGCACTACCTACTGCGCCACTGCATCGCCTAACTTGTAATATAAAATATATAATACAATATAATACAGGAATGAGAGCTGCAAAACTGCATTTGTGGCATATTCAGTCAACAACATTAATATAAATGATATTGCTATACAACATTTAGAAAATATAGAAGCCATATGCATACATGTTCAATACACAATTTCAGCAGATTTACTTGTATAAGCGGATCCAATGGGGAGTTTGATATAGGACCATTTCCTCAATTAATCTTTCAGTCTGGTGTTTTATAGAAACCATTTTTCTTGGTATGAAAAATATCGAAATAATCTAAAGCACAGTGCTTCAGACTGCAGTCTGTTGACCCTCAGGGGGCCTCATGGAGGCTGCCTGGTGGTCTGTAGAAATGTTTACACACACACAATCACACACACAAACACGCACACAGTACATTTAATAAATCAATTCTAAAACAAAAATAGATTAAACCTTTTTGCAAATAAAAATACATCAGCATAAATCCAATGTTTTTTGCATTTATTTGTGTATTGAATATTGTATGAATTTCTATTTATGTATATTATAACAATAAAACATTGGAACATATCATGACAGAAATTCCCTAGCTTTTAAATATATACATGTTTTTGGATGATAAAAAATGTGTATTTATAAGTAACTTCAATAGATTTATTGTGAGTTCAATTGATTCTGTGGATTCGGGTATTATTTGTTATGAAAACAGCTATTGAATAGGAATGGTCTGAAAGCGAGCCTGACATTTGGCTCGAAGCTGTTCCATTCAAACAGGGCACAAAACAGCACATCAATGACCCGTGTCTGACCATGAAGGAAATTTCCACTGGGCATGTTTTATTCTCTCCAGGCCCCCAGGTCTTAATGCTTTGGAGTTTACACCCCAAATGTTTATAGGAAAATTGCAACTCGTCTGATAATTTTAGTCATGGGTTTTAAAGGGCTCACATAAAAAGTTTTAACAACCTTGGTTTTATTATAACGATAAAATTATTTTATTTCCCCAAACAAATGGTATGTCATTCCAGGAAAAATGCTTCTAAACAATGCCAACTCTTCAGTTCTTCAGCTTGCAACAATCGCAGAACCTTTTATGGTGCTAAACAGAATCTTTTTTTAGGTTCCATAAAGAACCATGTTTGAAAGTCAATATCTTAATGGTCAAAATTAATCAAAATTCAAAATTAGTATACCTATTTCATTTGTAGTATTAGTAGTAGTAGTAATAATTTAACTTTTATATATTATTTATTTGTGGCTGGGAGAGCATCTGCCACATAAAACATACGCAAGCATAATTTGTGGTTCATTCTGCTGCATTGACTTCTAATATATCAGGGACTATGCCAAAGGATACTGAGTGATATTATATAATAATATCTGTAATTTATTAGTTTATCTATTTGATCTTAAATCCTGTAGTCTTTGTACTTTTTACTGATGTGAATTTGTAGCAAAAATGGCAATGCTATAACAAGTTATAAGCTTAATACCTTGATAGATGACAATCGACACTGAACAAGAATAATAAATGAAGTAAAATGCTAAAACAGAAAGAACATTTATGCAATGAAGCCCAAGTTCCAGTGAAAATTTTTTTCAATGATATTATCCGTTAATGTCCAGCATTATATGCATTTATTAAAACCTCTATACATTTTGACTTATAAACTATAAATTACATTAAAACATTTCCAGTTTATAAGTCAAAATGTATAGAGATTGCAATAAATGCATGGACAATTCTACATGGAAATGTTTTATAGTGTATGATATAAAACAATATAAAATTGGCCACACGATGGCGCCGTTGACCACTAGCTGAGCTGGAGCTTTATGTTTGAACATATGGGAAACGCTTGTCGTAATTATTTAATCATGAAAAAAGCCACTACGTGTTGATTTATCTGGGTCTACTATGTGGGAAATCGCCTCCAACCTCCACAATGTAAAACAATTCTGGTTGCCTTTTGAAGCTGAACCGAGTCCATGAACTTATATTATGTTAACCTGACTTAAAACAGCCTGTGTAACTTATATAATTAAGTTAGAGCATGATTAACTTGGTTTAGTACGTTACAATGAACTAAAAGCATATGTTGTCATGACTAATTAATCTTATAGTTTTTTTACAGTGCATTATTATGGCAAATGCATATGGGAATCAGCTGATCAAGCTCAGTTTATTCATTTTTAAAGTATGTTCAATTACAGATTTGTCCAATTTTGCCATACGTCTAAGGTCGTAGCCCATTGAGAATGGCATTGTCTGGTTTACTCCTCAGCCGACAGCTGCCTCGAAAGAAAGAGATCAAGTGAAATATGCATGACTGGCTTGTTTCTTATGGAGACTGTGCTGGTTATGCAAGAATAGATTTGGCCTGGTAGACTTTCATAGAACATAATGTCCTCAACCACACCTTCACCATTCAAAAACATTAAACTTTAATTATGAAATTGTATAATTTACATTATGGGTTTGTCCTTGTATCTGTTCTGAAAAAAAAATGTTACGTAAAAAGTTAAGTGTTTTGGGAAGTTCTAAAGCCACATTTTTTTATCATTATACTAAGAGTTGTTTCCCTAATTATCCTAATTTTATGATGATTAATTCAATTTTACTAACTGAAATTACTTTATTACATCTGCTTATCCTGCAGCACTTAATAAGTCTACAAATTGTGACAATTAAACTTGTGCACAAAAGAGATTATTTTTAAATAAGCCAAAATAATAATAAAATATTTATTATTAAATACCTTATTATTATTATATATTATTAATATTACAATACCTTAATTCTGATGTGATCATTACAGTTTAGGATGTGAAAAAGCAGTTCTGATCTTAGGGTCAGAAACTACACATTGCTCTAGCAATACACACACGTGTTTATGTAGTGCTGAATGATTATATTTATAGGGCTATGAGCAGCAAATGGCCCTGCCTCCGAATTCTATTGGCCAGATCTGGATTAGTAATATGAATCTTGCGTTCTGATTGGCTGTTGGGCGCACTTGGAAAAACAGCTGCCCCGTTGACCATCATACACATCGCAGTGCATGCAATGTAAACATCACAGCTATTGATAAACTGGATATCTGCAGCAGCTATTACTGATCTCTACCCAGTCAGAGAAATGAAGTTCGTCAGGTTTATAATGAAGAATGCTGCGCTGGCCAATGTGCCTCATCACATCGAACACTTCTCCAAATTTTCACCTTCTCCACTTTCAATGAAACAGTTTCTTGATTTTGGTGAGTATACTTTATCTACTGTTATTTTGGTCGGGTATGAAATCGTGTGCTGCGAAGAAATAGCTTAATATCATGAGAATTACGCTGCCAAGTGGTCGTGTAACGTCAGTCAGTTGCAGTTCATAATATTTTCTCTTCTGTCCTCAATTACGAGCATGGCTTTGTAACGTTAGCTGCTTTGCACGTATTTAGTGCTATTGACATCTGATTTATGATTAGTATGCGCTGCTTTACCAGCGGTGTGTAGTAATATAGAACAATGTGTACCTTTTGATTCGGATCTTTTTAGTGAACTGAATTGGTTCAAAGAATCAATCTGAATTTGTTTACAAATCTTTGACGGTGCACTCCCAAAGCGGCCAAAACTCAGCATACAGTAACACAAGTCTACTGTAATAGTCGAATAGCAGATGGCACAAAACGCAACCGAATTGTTTTGCGTGACTGTAATTTGGTGCGTAAATCAGGCAGAAATACGTAGTTTTTTTAAAATTACGACTATCTTGAATACAGCTGTGACACAAAAAAATATTAAACATTACTAATAACACCTTTTCAAGAGGAAAAATATTTTTTAGATATTTAAAAAGCATCACACACTAAGGGATTGAACCTGTTTTTCAGCAGCAGTTTTTTTAAACGAACTGATCAAAAGAACCGATTCGTTGAAATGACTCACAAATCCAGTCACTGCTGCTCATACGAGCGAAATGTTGCGTCATTTTACAGCTGCTGCCTTTGTCCTGCGCCACTACAATGTTTATGCACTTCTGTTTGACTTGTTTTACATTATGTGTGTATGTCTTTGAGTCCTGAACATAAACACTTCATTAATGTTTATGATATATCTCTTTCACTTTGACCAGCGTTTCATGTGTATTTGTTTTACGTGTTGCTTTCTTCCAGGCTCTACCAATGCATGCGAGAAAACTTCTTTTGTTTTCCTGAGGCAAGAGTTGCCCGTTCGTCTGTCAAACATCATGAAAGAAATCAACTTGCTCCCCAAAAGACTACTTACCACACCTTCTGTACAAATGGTGCATAGCTGGTGAGTTAAGTTGCACAACACTTTACTACATATATAAACTAATCCATCCTGCAATGACGGATTGTTTAAAAGACGATTATGGCCAGAGGAATGCAATTTATTTTTAGTACGCTTTGTAAGCACTTGAAACTAGGCCAAACTTTGAACTTGGAGGGAGAGAGAGCGTTTTGAACTTTCCCCTATATATTCAGCTTGGTGGGACTTTCAAGAAGGGATTCTGCTGTGAACTTTGTCCTACTTTCACTGCCTGATCGCGTCATACTCCCCTCTTGTTGTTGCCTTTTCCGAAGAGCAGAAACTTGGAAACCTGGCCATAGCCAAAACAAAACAGTCTAGCATTCATATGCATGGCATGCAACTGCTTAACGGTTGTTTTGCTCAGATGTTAGGCCATGACTTTGTGCCACATTTGCTTATCAGTGTGGTGTCATCTGAATTAAACAGAATATGTGATTTTGATTTGTTATAGATATTTTGTCAATATTAAGTTCTAAATATAATTATACGCTGTAAAAATTGCGGGGTTTCACACAATTCTTTCATTTCGTTTCAGCATAAATTGATTAAGTCATTTAAGTTGATTAACATAAAACTATTAAGTGGTCCCAAAAACAACCCCTTGGGCATTGTGTTGATTCAGCTTTTTTAAATAAAGTACTTTGAACAAGCAAACAAGCAGCAGCACTAATTTTCAGTGTATTTTCATTTCTCAATATATTTAAATTTAATTTGATTTCAAAGATAACTCAATTATATTAGTTGCCTGAAAAGTTTCTATTCTGAAAGCACATGACAAAGTTTTTTATGATTAATGCAGTCTTCACACTAGCCTTGTTTTAATGTTTTTAAATTAATTTTCATCACTTCAACCCCTGCTTTTTTCTGTTGCAAAGGTATATTCAGAGTTTGATGGAGATCTTGGAATTCTTGGAGAAAAGTCCAGATGACCACAGTATATTAGAAGAGTAAGTAGGAACATAAATAGTACATTTTATGAAGAAAATCTAAATGTTAGATATTGTATTTTTTACTCAGTTTAGAACCCATATTTTTTGCATTGTTTTGCTTTTTTATGTTATTACGTTTAGAACTAAAAGGTATAAATTTAAACGAAAGCAATCTAACTTTTTTTACATGTATTTTTCAATTTCATGTTAAATATGACATATTTCATTGCATATTTTCACACACTTCATTGTGCACACAGGTTTGTCGCTGCTCTGGTCAACATCCGCAACAGACACAATGATGTTGTACCCACCATGGCCCAGGGCGTGATTGAATATAAAGAGGTATTTGGTCAAGATCCAGTCACTAATCAGAATATCCAGTATTTCCTGGACCGTTTCTATTTGAGCCGGATATCCATCCGAATGCTAATCAACCAGCACAGTAAGTACAATATTCTGCCCAAACTAATCCAAAGAGTGTCCATACAGCTTAAATTCATTATATGTGTGTTTTTCCTTTGCTTTTTTTTAGCTCTTGTATTTGATGGTGCCACAAATCCAGTTCACCCCAATACCATTGGCAGTATAGACCCTCACTGTCAAGTGGCAGACGTTGTTAAAGGTATACTTTCACAAACATTGAGAGCGTGTCTATGTCAGATATTCATCTCAAAAGTCTATGAACCATTTGTTTAGTCAACACTCAGACACTATTATATGTTTCTAAAATGATATTGTGTCATCACTGTTCTTAATGTAGATGCATATGAAAGTGCCAGGATGCTTTGTGATCAATACTACCTCAACTCACCTGACCTGGACCTTCAGGAACTCAACAGTAAGATCAGAGAAAAATCATTTTATTCATCTTAAATTGAGTGTAAAGTGATAATTCACAGCTTATCTAGATGCACTGCATTTATTTGAGTAAAATGCTAATTTGTGTTTTATTCTATAATTAATTTCTAGATAATTTCTTTTAAGTTTAAAATAAAAATATTGTAATATTGTGTTAAAATCACTATTATTCTACCAAATATTGATATCAATACCACATACACTACTTGACAAAATTCTTGCCGTTAATCCTTTTGTAAGAGCAAAAATTAATAACTAATTTATTAAAAAATTAATAAATTAATAAGACCTATTGGACACATGGACATCAGTCAAATTTGGTAAAGGAAAAATCATGGTTTGGGATTACATTCAGTATGTGCAAGAGATCTGCAGAGTGGATGGCAACATCAACAGCCTGAGGTATCAAGAGATTTGTGCTGCCCATTACATTACAAACCACAGTCCAGGGCAAATTCTTTAGCAGGATAGCGTTCCTTCTGATAATTCAGCCTCCACATCCAAGTTCCTGAAATCAAAGAAGGTCAAGGTGCTCCATGATTGGCCAGCTCAGTCACTAGACATGAACGTTATTAAGCATTTCTGGAGTAAGTTGGAGGAATGCATTGAAGATGAATCCACAGAATATTGTCTTATTGAACGGGGAGTCCTGCAAGAATGCTTTCTTTGCCGTTTCAGATGACTTTATTAATAAGTTATTTGAGTCATTGCAGAGATGTATGGATGCAGTCGTTCAAACTTGTGGAAGTCATACACAATATTAAATCTTTTTCCACTGCACCATGACTTTATATTCTGCACATTATTTCTGTTAAGTGACAAGATATTTGTCAAAGTATAGTCAGACCTTACTGTCCTAATTAAATAATAAAAAAAAAAAAATGATCATATTTTATTTTGGTAACATAAGCGAAGTGTAGATTCCTTTGCCCTTCATATAAACCACTTTTGACACCAAATGATCAACTAGAAGTCAAGCTATTATTTGTTGTTTCTAAAACTTGAATAGGCGACAAGACTTTTGTCAGGTAGTGTATACTAAAGATTAAAAAATCATTATTGTGCTGCTAAAAATCGTTACCTTTTTTGTTATTTTATGCGACATTTTTATTTAAAATTTGGTAGAAATGTCAGGAGTAGTTTACAGAATAAATCAAAAATGACATTTCACTTGAACACATACAAATCAATAATGCAGAAAGCCGAGGATTGTTAAGTATAGTCCATTAGTTTTTTCCATTGCACTAAGTAAGAGCTCAGAGTCTAAAATGTATTCCTTCTATTGGTTTTACATGTTTTCTGCCTAATTGCTCAGAGCTTAGCTATGATAATAGATGTCTTATCAGCTGTAGACATTATTGACACTGTGTCTTTGTTCTTCTTTTAACAGCTAATAATAGGAACCAGCCTATTAGCATAGTGTATGTGCCTTCCCATCTGTACCATATATTGTTTGAACTGTTCAAGGTGAGTTGTAGCCCATCTCATGTTCTGCCCAGATACATCGCTGTTTACGTAAGATCTGAATGTTGTCATGACAGTGTGTTTTCGTCCTCAGAATGCAATGAGAGCGACTATTGAGAGCCATAAAGAAGGCAGTAATCTTCCAGCCATTCAAGTCATGGTGGCTGTAGGAGGAGAAGACCTCACTATAAAGGTGATTGGATTCTAGAATGGCTTATAACAGTGTTATCATTATGTTTTAAACCAATTATTATTTTGAAAATAGCTTTTAAGTTAATACTTTCTTTGTATCCTATTGTGTAAATTGAGATATTTACACTAAATTTTTTTACTGGATTTACTTACTGAAATTCTAACAAAATAATTGAAGTAAAATTATTTAAAAACACCCCAATAACCACATAAAAAGAAAATTATCATTAAAATTAATTAATTTCTTCTTATTATTTAATAATTAACAGATCAAAATAGGACGGTTGAATACAATATTCTTTATTGTATCAATTTTTATAAAATTATTATTATTTTTTTAATACTTTATTTGTAGGAATTTTTGATAAATGTGCACAAAACAAACAGTCAACAACAAATATACAAACAAACATCCCCAACACTAATTTCCCTTATGTGGCTTTAACAGAAGAGACACATAGCTAACAGTTTGCAAACATTAAAGTCCTCAAGCATTGCACAATTGCACAGCAAGTATACGTAGAGAGTGTAAATACAATTCCAATACAGTAATGACAGACAAATAAATTAATAAAAAAATGTTAAAAGGAAAATGCAAAAAGATTGACAATACACATACAGTAAGCAAAGCACTCAGTGTGTAATAGAAGGAAGGTAATGTATACCTTTATTACAAGCAAGCCCATTTTGAAAACCATTACAAGGTTATAGTAAAAGGAAAGAAGATTATAAAAAAAAATTAAAAAGATGCGGGGTGCAGGGGGATCTTTTGAGATTGTATGGGATTAAATATCCTTCTGCTCTAAGAATTGTAAATTGCCAATGTATGTAGGAAATGGAGAACTTGTTTCAAAAAATACAGTTTTTGAACATCTGAGAGTAAATTAGATTTTTTCAAGCTAAATAACAGACATCATGTCTTTGATCCATCTACTATGTGTTGGGTGCTCAGTTTTTCCAATAGAGAAGATTTAAATGCCTTGCAAATAGCATGGTAAAAGCAATTACGCTACATATTTATTTTTTAAGCACTATATTTTCCAGGCTGGTTCCGAGATTCATTATTTAGATTTTACTATTTAAAAGTGTGTGTATTTTTTTAAATTAAATTTACTCCATTGATAGAAAATAATATAATTTTCCTAAAAATTAGTCATATTGTACAAACCTACTTTGATTTAAAAAAAAAAATTCAAATGATTCAAATTATTTAGTTAATGTACTTAGTAGCGGTAAACATATTATTATATTTTAAAAATATTTTTCATTTATCTATTTTTGTCTAAACATATGGGGCCCTATCATACACCCGGCGCAGTGTGGCGCAAGACGCAGCGCAATAGTCTTTTGGTAGTTTCAGCTTGGCGCAAGAGTCGTTTTGAGGCGTTGCGCTACGCTGTTTAAATAGCAAATGCATTTGTGCACCCATAGGCGTTCTGGTCTAAAAAGGAAGGTGTTCTGAGGCTGACCGCTGGCGCGTTGCTATTTTGAGAAACTATAATAGATTTTTCACTAGACCAAAACTAACCCGGTCTAAACTCCGGCGCAGAGTTGCGCCTCGCTTACGCACTGCTTAATACGCACAAGACAGCAATAGGCAAATATCTTTACATATGAAAAAATGTAAATATTAAGGATATATATAGGATATAATAAGAATAGATATAGGATATAAATATAAAGGATTAAAATATTACAAAACATATTATTTTCTAGCCTTCAAAAATAGGAAAAATCACTGCTTTTATATCTTCTTCATCTCAGGAGGCTTTTTTCAGTTCATTCATAACAATTTGCTTTTGTATAATGGTATTATTATTAGCAGTATTATTTAATATATCCATATTTATATTTGTTTTATTAAAAACAAGCTTAGATTTGCCCACCTGTCAGGTTTAAGACCATATGGGTCATGGCAGGTGTATTTGGAAATAACTCAGTATTTTGACCACACTTGGTAATTATTGTTCATTTATTCGTTTGCTAGAAATTAGAACTGAATTTAGAAATAGTTTTGAAACAAATGTTTGCGCTTAACAAACAAAATTAATTATTTATAGGCTAATTGATGTCTGTGCGTAAAGGTTTCCCTATCCAAGAGCAAAAATGAAAGTAGTTCCATTATCTCTCATTCTCACGCAGTAGATGCTCTGTTTAACAGTTTTCTGTTAAAAAACTTTCAACTGTTAACTGTTTGCTTGTGAAATGCTAATTTTTTCCACTTAGACTTACTTTGCGTCCTGTAAATAGCGAATGCGCTCTTAGCGCGACGCAGCTGGGTCTTAAAGGGAATAGGAGATGAGACTCTAATTGGTTTATTCTCAAAACACACCTATAGGTCATTAAGAAAATAAACTCAACCCTTTTACCCCATCCGCCTTGGCGCAAAGCAGATTTTCCCATCCGTAAATTAGCAAAAATGCGTTCTGACACGCCCTGAAAGCGTTTGCGCCCTGCGTTTTGCACTTTGCGCATGGACCGTCAAAATAGAGCCCATGGTCTTGAAACACAGAAAAAGTTACTGTGACTTATTATTTCAATGCTGCCTTATTGATTCTAGTCTGCTGTAACTGGAGCAGTCGGTCATGTTCCCATGCTGTTGCATAACACAATACAGAAAAGCTGACTGGCCTTGTTGTTTGGTTACCTTGACAAAACTGATTTGAGACGTGTACTGTACATACTAACCAGTCATGATCAGGGTCAAAGTGCTCTTCCCCTCTCACTGTTAGCCTGTTTTTTCAATGTCTATGTTTTTTTAAATAGTTATATATTTATTCCTAAAAAAAATTTTTTTGTTTTGTTTTTTAGATGAGTGACCGTGGTGGTGGAGTTCCTTTCAGGAAGATGGAGAATCTCTTCAGTTACATGTACTCCACAGCACCAACACCACAGATGGATGAGAAGCAAAGGGCTCCTCTGGTGAGATTTTAGAGCTTTGTACATGAAGTACAAATAGGAATTGCAAAATACAGAAAAAATAGTATCAAAGAGTTTAGGGATGCACAATGTATCGGAGGCCATTTCGTTATCGGCCAATAACGGCTATTGGTAATGTTATCGTTATTGGTCCAATATCAAAATTAAGCCAATATCTTTAAGCTGATAGATTGTCATTGTACAGAATTGCCTGCCTCTCATTTTGTTATTTAACCTATTATTTTTTGCGACAATCAATTCATGTTGATTTGCTATGAGAAGAAAAGGAAATAATCTATTTTTGGCATGCTGATTCATGTGATATCGTGAATATGGGTCTATTTTTTGCTTCGAGTGTGCTGTTCTAAGAACTGTTCAAACTTTTATGAAGTTTTTAAAATAAATCAGTTGTTAAGTGTATAAAAATATAACATTTTAAAATATTTATATTAATCAGCTAACATATCGGTTATCTGCCTCCAAATCTAAGGAGTTATCAATATCAGCCCAAAAACCATATGGGTGCATCCCTAAATGAGGTAACATTTCACATTTCACACCTAAAAAGGTAAATGATCAAATAAAAACAAAATAAACCATAGTATGAAATATTAATTAAAATAATTTATGTAAAAATATTAATAAGTAATATTATTTTTAAATCTGTGCTTCCATACAAAGAAGTAGTTTTAATAGATGTATATTTAAACATTTAACATATTTACCCGTTGCTTTGTTGTGTTAAACTGATCTGCTTCAACTAGACAGGTGTTTAAATACATCTTTAGATTTTGAATCTCTTATTTTGGCATTTTCAATTTGTATGCATGTGATATCACACATAACTGCACATCAAATACACTGCCTCTTTATAAGTTTAGTCGTCTTTTGTCCACAGGCTGGGTTTGGTTATGGTTTGCCCATTTCTCGACTCTATGCCAAGTATTTTCAGGGTGACCTCCAGCTCTACTCTATGGAGGGCCATGGCACTGATGCAGTCATTCACCTCAAGGTACATTTACACCCAATACTTAACAGAATAGTTTCAAATTCATTCATTTTTAACTTTGTGTCAAAAAATGTATAAAAACACTGAAGAAAATAAACTAAACTAAAAGTAAATTAGGTAAACTAAATTGAACTATGCAATGAAAATCTACTGTATATTATTATACATTATACTTGTACTATCTCTTAAAGAACACATTGCTAAATTGAAAAGCCAAGGGAACTTATCACTGTGTTGTAACAGATTACATCATGATTTTTCCCCTCAGGCTTTATCCACCGACTCTGTTGAGAGACTCCCAGTGTTTAATAAGACGGCTCGACGAAATTATGAAGTCACGCAGGGGGCAGATGACTGGTGTGTACCCAGTCGAGAGCCTTTGGACCTGGCTGTGTTCAAACTGGCCAAATGAAGAGCCTCCAGGAAGGATACAAAACCCTTCAAGAGCGACTGACATGAGTGAGTGGTGATGGACACGATGTTCTCATGGCCGAAGCTTAATTTTCCACTCACTGTGAAGCGGCGTACTCTTTCAGCAATACTCTAGATGTCGCATGCGATGGTTTTTTTCTATGCACCATGATTGTATCGTTTGTTTTCTTGGTTTGAGAAACTACTGTAGGCTTTGTCACAGCGTTACACGCAGACCATACTAACCCTCATGAAGCGGAACAACAAAGTGCCAGCTTAATGCACTCCACTGACCTGACTGAGTGTTAAGTGGAGGTTCCAGTGTGGAGAAGGGAGCCAAATGGACAGGTTTTGGGTTAAAGGACCGTTTAGATTAGATATTGGAACTTGTTTGTTTCAAGGAACTAAAGAGTACATGAAATCAGAGGCCCTGTCAATAGCCAGTATTAAAATGCAGTTTTGTTAATTCTGATCACAAGTAGGGGATACTTAGGTGTTTTACAATACTGGAGCCAAATCGATACTTTTAAAACTTTGCATTTAAAAAACAAAGACCAAGCAAACAGTGCTGAAGACAGATGACATTCAAAAATGGTCTTTTTATTGAAAAAAAGATCAATTATAACAATTTATTAAGTTTAAAATATAGTTGTTACTATAAAACTATTAGCAACTACAAAACTCAGCAGATTTATATGAATTCACATTAAAACCTAAGTCACCTAACTAATATTGTAACCCGTAAAAACAAAGTAATCAGTATTCTGGGTATGATACGAATCAAGTTTCACCCATTCTTCTTCTAGACTAGGAATATGACCATATTTTGACCATATTATTTTATATATTTTCCTCCTCCGACTTACTGCATGTCCTGACCTAATATGATCTAATTTAAACCAATCACAAATGCAGTATAGCTATATATAAATATCACTTTTTATAGTAGCTGATATCCATTATTCTCTTTGCGCATACACTTGTCAGCTCATTATTTATGGTTATTGCAGCCCGGTCACATAAAGAAACGTAACTATTTGGTCATATTCATGTAAATTCTTATGATTTAATTCATATGAAAATGCAATGGTTTTAAAAGAACACGTGCATCCCATTTTCAACAAAATTGCATCTTAATACCATGTGTAAACACTACCAGTGGTACAGTAGGAAAGGGCCAAGATGAGGAAATAAGAGTCAATATGCAACCACAGATGGATCATTTATATAAAAGTACACTTGAAAACATGTTGCACAGACTTGGTAATGTTGAAATCAAGGAACACTTGTAATTCAGTGACTTTGACTGCTAAGATAGTAGTTTCCATACTCAGCCAAAAGGTGAAAGAAAGATGATCAGAGGCCATATTTAAGGCTGCATTTTCTTTGTGGCCAAATGTAATCAATGGTATTTCTCTTATAGGGACAGTTCACCCAGAAAATGAGAGTTCTGTTATTATTTTTTGACCCTTTACTTGTTTCAAGCCTATACAGTATGAGTTTAAAAGACAGTATTAATGATATTATTTTAATAATGGCTAAAACCGATGTGTTTCCACACTGTAAAATGGTATTCAAAAAGTAAGTTAGCCTATTGCCTTAAAATCAATATGTTGTCTACTTTTAAAAAGTGAGTAACTTGTTGAACTTGTATTTGTTAAGTTGGCTTAACTTAATTTTTTAGAATTATGCTCATTATGAATTTTACTAATAATTTTAGAGCAAAAAATCACTTTTTACAGAGCAATATTTTTCAGAATGTTTTACAGTTTGTTCAGCACTGGAAAAAAAAGTCATATACAGGTTTGGAACAACTGTAGAGAGAGTAAATGTAAGAGCTTTTTTATTTTTTGGTGAACTATCTCATTAAACAAAATGTGTTCAGATCCGGATTGAATGTACTGTACAAATAATCTCATTGATGTAAACTTGAAACACTTTTAACTTATGCACGGAGCATTTCAAACAGTTTTAGATGCTTTAATGTTTATTCTTAAACATGCTGAAGTATTTTAGATACCTCATTGACTGAAGTTAGCTTGTGCACTCAGAGATCTTTGCGTCCTTCGGTTTTGCAGGCCTTCGGTTGCTAGTTTCTTCAAATAGCACACAGTGTGAAATTAGAGCTGCTAATTTTAAGCCTTCTCCATGGAGAGCATGCCTACTGTATTAAATCAACCATCAGCTTTCAGCTTGCACCACACAACCTTACATGTAAGGACCATATTTTGTGTATATATTTATTTGTGTTATTGTCGTGTTATTCCTGAAAAAAAAAATCTAAATCTTATTTTTGTAAAAAGTTTTCCATACAAACTAAATGATGTCTATATAAAGAGAAATAAACACATTTTTTTGTGTCAAGTTTACATTGTGGTGGTGTCTTTCATTGGCATTGAATTAGTTAGATCATGTATTTACTAACATAAACAATACATTTATTACAGTATTCAGTCATATTTGTTAATGTATGACATAACTGTTGTTCATTGTTAGCTTTTGTTAACTCACAGTGTATTAATGTTTACAAGCACAACTTTATAATAATAATAATACATGAGTAGTAGTAGCAGTAGTGGTAAACTTTATTTTTTTTTTTTGGGCATCACTATATTGCTGCAGACATTCCATAAAAAATACAGTAGTTATAATAATTATAATGCTAATTAAGATAAACTCTTGTTAAATAAACCCACTGAAACATGTAGGCTGCAAAGAATATTGGTTTAACCTTCACTTAGAGACTCTACTGTACATCTACTAGAGGAAAGCAGTTCATAATGTGGAAAAGAAAAAAATTAGTTGGATCATTCAGAATCCTTTCCACCTGATTAAGGACACAATTCTCATATAAAACTTGTGGATTCAAATATTAATCATGCCCAACAATTTTCCACCCTGCACTCTAAAAAACACAGGGTTAAAAACTACCCAAATTGGGTTGTTTTTAACCCTACTGCTGGGTAAATATGGGGCAGAACACATCAGGGGTTAAATTAAACCAAGTAATTGGGTTATTATTTTTAACCCTATAAATTTGGGTTTTCTACCCAATAATTGGTTATTTTTACTTGAATAATACGTTAATTTAATCCAAAAATGCCTGCGAAAGATGACCCAGCAATTGTTTTGTTTTGACTCAGCATCACTGCAGTACGGTGGGGGATGTGCAGCTTTGATTACAGGTGTACAAAATGTAGGAAGAAATTATTTATTTCCAAAAGGTCTGACTAAGGGCAACTATGAGCATGAATCTCATTTTAATCATCTGAAAACACAAGGAATCTGTGTTTATGTTACACTATTTTCATTGCATTTAAACAAATTAGTACACAATATGTGGTATCCCAGTCAGCCCCTGCTGTGAGTTGATTTGACCCAAAGAGCTGGGTTGAAACTATCCAAGACTCTGAAAAAAAAATACCCAAATGCCTCAACCCAATATCTATTTGGGTAGAAAAAATAACCCTATATTTTTAGAGTGTGCCCTTAAGAGATGCATCAACTTAGATTTACATTAGACAGATAGGTTGCCAAACCACACTGTGATACCATGTCTGACAATCCATGTTAGAAAGAGTACTGAAGAAAAATGCTTGAGTAAAAGTACTGTTACTTGCCTAAAAATGCAGTGCAAGAAGAGTAAAAGAATCTGTTTTAAATATAGTATAGTAAAAAGTAGACCTTTCAAAAGTACTCAAGAGTTGTGAGTATAACGCTGTAAAAAGCTAGTGCATTTGTGGATATGGATGTGTGTAAATAAAACATTCTGTAGTGCATTTACAGTAGTTATTGCCCAGCAGGCACACAATTTCTTAAGACGTATGGGTTTAATTTTTGTCGTGACGTCAGGTGACCGAAATTCAAAGCCTATCCAGCGTCTAGGACAATGTTATTTTGATGTCTAATAATGACGTTGATATTTGGTTGATTTTTGGTTTGCATTAGAAAGAGGCCAAAATCTCAAACCAGCGTCATACTGACGTCAAATACTGACATTTATTCATCAAGTATGGCTACCAAAATACAACGTCTGATAGACGTCATAGTGGTAACGTCCTCACAAAATCAAGCTGTAACTTCATTAGACGTTGAAATTTGGTTGCTTTTAGTTTAGAAGTTCAGTTCTGACAATAACCCGCCTTTCATTTCCAAACAAAATGCAACGACCCTGGGTGTTTTAGTCATCAAACAGTAAACATCCTTCATCTTCTCATCAGTGACATGCATCTAAACAGTCTCTGGATCAATGTGTGTAAAGATTTTGGACATCATCTTGGACATTTTTAATGTTTATGAACAGTTTGCTTCAATTATAAATCACCCACGTCTTGAGGTAGTTCAGTATGATGCAAATTACTTTCTATGTGTGATTTGATCGGACAGGAATCACAGAACTGATTTTTCTGATCCCCGTAGACAAGAAAAAGTAGTAACTGCAGGTTGAAGGACAGTAGTGAAGTAAAAGTACAGATACAGTGCTAAAAATGTACTCAAGGTAAAGTAAAAGAACACGTTTTAAAACTACAGTACCTTTGTAAATTACTATTCCTTAGAAAAATTACTCAATTACAGTAATTTGAGTATTTGTAATTTGTTACTTCACACCACTGCTGACAATGCTTTCAAGAACAGCTTTATAAAATGACACTATGCATAGCTCCAAAGAGAAGAAACCTCTGTAAAAAAAAAATACAGTCTCTGGTGTAAACAAGAACAAACCCACTTTATGTGTGTTTTCCATGTAAAAGAACTGTCAATGTAAATGCCCACAGACTCGGGTCTCTGACTGAGTAATAGAATGGTCATGCATGGTCGCCTATATACTTTAGGTCAAAAACCATCTCTTCTATTTTCTTAGTATTTATTTTCAGCTTATTTTTATAACACTAGTCAACAACCGGCTAATTTGTGACTGGTAGATAACACTAATGGAATCATTCTTGTAAAGTAAACTTAATATTAGTAAGTGTTGAATTATGATTATTAATACATGCTGCACAATTATCGTTAATTTTTAGTTCATGCTAGTAAATACACTATTGGATCCTTATTGTATGTGACCCAAGTACTCTAGATGTTTTATATGCTAAAACACATAAATCATTTATTTGTGGCAACTCAATTTTAATTAATTTTAATTATAGAATTCATGGTCACACATTACAATAAGGTTAATTAGTTAATGTTAATTAATGCATTTACAAACATGAACAAACAATGAACAATACATCTACTACTGTATTTATTCATGTTAGTAGACGTTAGTTAATGAAAATACAGTTGTTCATTGTTAGTTCATGTTAACTCATGGTGCATTAACTAATGTTAACAAGCATGGACTTGGATGTTAATAATGCATTAGTAAATGTTCAATTGTGATTAATAAATGCTGTACATGTGTTGTTCATGATTAGTTCATGTTAGTAAATGCATTAACTAATGAACCTTATTGTAAAGTGTTACCGAATTCATATTATTTAAGTTTAAATAAGGAAGTAAACTTCAATCATTCATTCATTCATTTTCTTTCGGCTTAGTCTCTATTTTAGAGGTTGGCACAGTGGAATGAACCACCAACTATTCCAGCATATTTTTTATGCAGTTTTAACCAGTATTGGGAAAGTAAACTATATACAGAATATACTGTATATTATTAATGTGTGGAGGAGACGTTACACTCTGATTCTTTGCCCAGTAGGACAAAGGTTACATTTTCATAGTAAACAACAGCCCATTTAAAGGTCAGATGGAAAATGAAGTCATTGGAGCACAACAGAAGTCATGAATGAAACAACAAACCTCGAAGAAACCATGAACTTGATGAAGGTCAGATGTGCAGGGAAAAAAAACGGTTGATGGAAATGTGAAAGTAACGTCAGGATCATTTTGTGTGTAGAGAGCACGGTGTTCTTGATGGATTAACCTTCTCAAGAGCTGCCTGATAAACAAGTGCTCTGCTTACTGCATCACCTACCATAAAGCACGTACTCCATGTAAGGATAGACAGTAAGCTTGTTGACGTGCAGGAGGCTCTGGAATGTTTCACACACTGGTAAACTTTAAATCATAGTGCCAACATTACTGTATCAGATTACATCTATCTATCTATCTATCTATCTATCTATCTATCTATCTATCTATCTATCTATCTATCTATCTATCTATCTATCTATCTATCTATCTATCTATCTATCTATCTATCTATCTATCTATCTATCTATCTATCTATCTATCTATCTATCTATCTATCTATCCATCCATCCATCCATCCATCCATCCATCCATCCATCCATCCATCCATCCATCCATCCATCCATCCATCCATCCATCCATCCATCCATCCATCCATCCATAGGTCTATCTATCTATCTATCTATCTATCTATCTATCTATCTATCTATCTATCTATCTATCTATCTATCTATCTATCTATCTATCTATCTATCTATCTATCTATCTATCTGCCTGCCTGCCTGCCTGCCTGCCTGCCTGCCTGCCTGCCTGCCTGCCTGCCTGCCTGCCTGCCTGTCTGTCTGTCTGTCTGTCTGTCTGTCTGTCTGTCTATCTATCTATCTATCTATCTATCTATCTATCTATCTATCTATCTATCTGCCTGTCTGTCTGTCTGTCTAACTGCCTGCCTGCCTACTTATCTATCTCTATCAAAATGTGATTAGTTACTTAACGTAACTAGGGAGTAAACCTGTTGTAACTTGAAACTGTTAAGTTGACCTGTAGCTTAAAATTTGCAATTATGCACAGTTAATTTTAAGACAACATGTTTACTCACTTTTTTACACTATATATATAATTTATTTTATTTTCATTTACAGTTTTTCTCAGCCGCTTTGGTGCGTTTCTCACAACACTAGTGCATATCTGCACAACAACAAATTCTGCATTTCTTAAAACAATTAGTACAAACTGCAAAAGATGATAACCTGCAAAAGCGTGTCACTTGCTCAAAATGGATAGCTCATTCCTCAAAAGCAAGTATTCATGTCAATCAAAGTGTCCGTATCAACAAAATGAAAAGTCCTAACACCATTGTTTATGAACAAGATAGTCAAATGGCTTTGTCATGTTTTCATTATGACAGTTTACGCTGTTCAGTTTTTCAATGCAAAAAAAGTCTGATTTTGGCGACACTTCCTGAAATTGCTCAAAACAGCACTATATACTATTTGCACAGGTACTGACAGGCTCAGCCCTGCTCAGCTTCAGTGAGTAACCAGTCTTGGGCTGCTG